CTGATAGATTCAGTGACTGGTGAAGGCCCTTTCCTCACAGATGATGACTTCTCACTGTGTCTTCACATGGTAGAGGGGGGAAGGCAGTGCTGTGGCCTCTTTCACAAGGGCACTAATCCCATGCATAAGGGCTTCATCCCCCACATCTTCATCACTTCCGAAATGCCCTACCTCCTAACACCATCACTTTGGGGGTTAGAATTTCATCATATGAATTTTAGGGGGGACACCATCAGACCACAGCAATGTTTGACCTCAGCACTCTCTTCTTCCATCATCCTGTGAAAACAAAAGGAAAGAAAAGCAGAGCACCATGCTGCCCTAAGTAAAGACACATTTATCTCTCACTTATTCATTCTGTAAACATCCTTGTGCCCATTACCAGCTAGACTTTGCAAAGACAAGGAGCACTAACAAGTGTCCCTGTCCCCAAGGTGTTTGTAGGTCTATTAGCCAAGATGAGTTAACACCTATGAAAACCACTCTTAACTCTCAGTGACCTAATAAGCTATAAGTTTGTTTATCCCTTTGTCCCAGTCTACCATAGGTTGGGGGAAATAGTACTCCACACAAACCTTCAGGGACTCAGGCTTTCCCTCCTCAGTGGCCCTGTCACCACCATGGCCTTGGAGGTCTCCAGGCCCTCTTTGTCTGACTAGCAAATGAGAGGAGAGAACGTGAAGGAGACACAGAGAATTTAAAAAGCTGCCACATCCGCCCACATCCCCTGTGCAGGACTCCATCCCAGAGCCACGATGGCCTGCAGCAGAAGCTGGAAGTGTGGTGCCCATGAGGAAGAGGGTAAAGAGTGAACACACGCTCTGGTACTATGGATGAACACACACTCACCATGGTCTAGTCACCCCAATCAGGAAATAGAAGTCCCTTTTCCACCTGCACTTAGCACCAAACTCCTTTCTGCCCAGAGAGGAGCAAGCAACTGGAAGTTTGCATCCAACATTTACATTCTTTTCTTGGAACTCCAAATCCAAGAACATCCTTCCGTTTCAACCCCTTCGTTTTCTTCTGACAATTTCCTTTAACGAGCACAAGTGTTCCTTTCTAACACATTTAACCAGAGCAGAGCAAAGTTTACAGTAGAAATATAAAATTCCCTGCTGAGAATTATTGTTTTTTAGTCTAGTGAACCTAATCATTTAGTAATTGAAGCTCTCCATAGCAAATGTGTAATCTCCTGTAGATCAAGTGAAAATATTTAAAATTATTTTCCAAATGTCCAGGCAGCCCTGTGGGTCTCAGTCCCCTTCTTCTTATTTACAGAGCTTTCTGGTTGGAAGGGGAAAGAAAGAAACAGGAAGTCCAGTGCCCAGGTATGCTGAGCGGTAGGTGAAGAGCCATGTTTTTTGTCTCAGTTTTGCTTCCAGTTATATCAGAGCCAGGACAGCCACATTCAAAAACCTTAGAAGTTCAGCCAGGCCAACATGGTGAAACCCCATCTCTACTAAAAATACAAAAATTAACCAGACGTGGTAGTGCCGCCTGTAATCCCAGCTACTCGGGAGGCTGATGCAGGAGAACTGCTTGAACCCGGGAGGTGGAGGCTGCAGTGGGCTATGATGAAGCCACTGCACTCCAGCCTGGGTGACAGAGCAAGACTTGGTCTCAGAAGAAAACAAAACAAGAAAAAACCCTTAGAAGTTGATACCTAAATAGTCAATGGGCACAACAGAAATGTTATTCATAAATTAAAGCGTGAGGCTTGGCAATTGAGCTAGCAAGTTTCTGTCTGCCTATAATCTAAAATCCAGTAAGGCAATAATGATTTCTTCTTGTTGCCATGGACCTGTTCAGGGCATCATACTAAGTAAAAAAAAAAAAAAAAAAAAAATTCAGTGGCTGAAGACAACAGTGGCTTATCATCTCTATGGTTTCTGTGGGTCTTGGCTCACTCAGGCATCTCTGGCTGGAATCCCCCGAGGGCTGGGCTGTGGTCCCTCATCCTGGGTGTCAGCCACTCCTCAGGGCTGCTTGAGTGTCCTCGCAATATGTCAGCTGGTTTCCCACAGAGTGAGCAAACCAAGAGAGTGCGGGCCAGGCGCCGTCTGTGATCTGTATCACCTGTTATGACACAGCTTCGAGTCACATAAAGTGACCTCCATCAGAGTCTACTGAGGGAACCAGGTCTTAGGGAAGGGGACAGAGAGGTCACCTCCCAGAGGAGGGGTGTCAAGCCATACTGCAAGAAAAGCTGATGAGAGAGTTTTTAGGTTGATGTGACTGCCTTTTGAAAATGCAATCTTTTTTAGGGCCTAGCATGCAAACCTTGGCTTCTAAAACTAACCCTGAGATCATTTGATCTAGCTAAACCCACACAGCCAGGAAGTGAGGGAGGGGAGAGGAGAACAGAGGCTGTGGACTCCGGAGCCCCTTCCCCAGCACTCTGAGAGGTCTCCACCAAAGGGGAGATTTTGCTTTTCGTTTGGAGACAGAGTCTTACTCTATCACCTGGGCTGGAGTACGGTAGCATAATCATGGCTCACGGCAGTCTCGGCTTCCTGTGGCTCAAACGATTTTCCCACCTCAGCCTTTTGAGTAGATGAACTACAGGCATGTGCCACCACGCCTGGCTAATTTTTTTTTTTTTTTTTTTGTAGAGGCACGGTCCCACTATGTTGCCCAGGCTGTTGTTTAACTGAGCTCATGTGAGCCTCCCACCTCAGCTTCCCAAAATGCTGGAATTACAAGCATGAGCCATAGTGCCTGGCCAAGATATGATTTAATACAGCATTCTTGCTGGATACTCAATGTTAGCCCTCACTGAGCAGGTGGTGGACAATCCCAGCCCTATCAGAGTAACAAGAAAGGAGATAAACTCTGTGAAAGGCTTCAGGGTAAGGCTGTTATCTGTAGCATCAATAACAATGATAAATCCTGACCTGGCCTGAACTCCTCCCAGGACCCACCAAACGCCCTCCATCCCAGATGCAGCTGGGTCAAACACCTGATGCATGATGCTGGGTGCCCTTCTGGGTGCCATTAAAGGAAGAGAAAAAATTAACTGTGAGAGTTTTAGAGACCTAAAAATGTGCAGGGCAGAAGCTGCAAAATGGCAGCAGGCCCAGCGCCGACTGGAAGCAAGTATGACTTTCCATGGGCCCACAAGCAGCTCTGAGGTCCTAGGCCTGGCTGGTCTGCGACTGTGGAACAGTAAGATTCAGGGTTCCAGGAGTGTGATGGCCAAGAACCCACGCCACCCCTGCCCCAGGCAAAGGACTCAGCTTTCAGTTACAAGAACTCCACAGAAGCCTATATAGGGTCTTGGAAGACAGCAGGGATCTGCCAACAGAGTCCTGTCTCTGTCTTCGCCTCCCTCTCCCTCCTCTCTCTGCTGCTTCACTAGACTTTGAAAAATACCATGGACGGAGCCTTTGGGTCTAGGGCCAAGAAAGGGGCTAAAAATCTCCAACCTGGGTAACTATCATTAACACTAAGATCGTGAAAGTCAAGATAAGCCCTCTGCTCTCTGATCCCCACCCCACCACGAGATTTGCAGGGCAAGTCTGGGAGGGAAAAGAACCAAGTCCTGATAAACGTAAATTGACAGGCGCTCCTGTTCACAATCTGTTCTAGACGCAATTCCACGTGGCTCCCCCAAGACAAAGATGTTCCCCTTTGATGGTTCTGCTGTCTTGGGGAGAGGCTCAGGCACATTCTGACTGGCCAGTTCTTGCTCCCTAAAATAGCCTGTGGACTGTGCCCTCCTTGGGGTCAGGGAGGCAGGACAAACAGCTCCTCTCCAGCCCACCCTCATGCTCCCGCTCTGTTCTCCTCGCTGACCTGGCCACAGGCTCTCCCAACCCAAAGGAACCCACAGTATCTCCGGAGCTCTGCCCTGAGCAGCCCCGTGCTAGGGAGGAGGGCTGGGAAACAGGCCCTCACCACCAGAGCATGCGACACAGCCTGTGAGATGGTGCCAGTGGGTCTGGCTTTTTCGTACAAGTTGACCAGGGCTTATGCTCCAGCAATGCCAGGTCAAAAGCACAGCCACCAAGTTCTCCTCCAAAAGCTTGACTCCTTTGGAACTCACTTCCTGCGGGGGCCAGAGCACAGTGTACCCCTACCCCGAGTCCTGGCACAGGGACACGGCCATATAACCTGGAGACTCTTCCTGCTACAGCCAGGAAGGCACCTCCTGCCAGCAGGAGCCGGGGCTGGAGAGGGCTGGGCTGCCTGCCCGGCTCACACCAGGAGTGGTGTGGCTAGGACCGAAGAGGGGACTCTCAGGCCTGTCTGGAGCACCTTGGGGGTGGAGTCATAGGGGAGGGTCTAGACAGTGGCTATTCATTGCTTCTCCTTCCGCAGCTGCAGAGACTTCCTCCTCAGTCTGAGCTGGGCAGCGCCCACTTGCGTCTGCCTTCAAATCCCTTTCCTGCTGGTCAAAGGCAACCCCTGTGACTCTACCAGAGAGGGCCGGAAATCCAGCTGCCCACAACATATCCTGCCATGGCCTCACAGAGAGGGCATGGGACCCGGGGAGGCTGAACAGGAAAGGCAGAAAGGGGATCCCATCCACCAGGACAGCAGATTCGGTGCCTTGCATGATGGCAGCTGACTGTGGTGGGTGCCGCCATTTCAGGGACCCCCAATGGGCCTTTGGTGCCTCCCAGGAGCCCAAGGTGGCAGTGACTGCACACAGCCAGCTAGGAACGTGTCTGTCCGTGATGTGGTCCCCACTGGGCAGGAATCTGGGGCTGAGGCACAGTCTCTGCTCCCCTGTGCAGGGGTGGGATTGCCTGATAGGTGTGTTTTCCCACTACCCCCTCTCCCGCCAACAGCCCAGAGAGGGGAAGTCAGACATCCCTCATCCGCCACAGTTGGCAGTAGCCAGAAGACAGGGGCCCTGGGGCCACCAGAACCAAAAGTCCACCAGTGGGCCCTTGGTTATGATGAGGATCGAGTGGAGCGCATCTTACCAGTGTGTCCCAGAGACCCAAGCTCCTCCCCAGATAACACGCAGACTGAGCGCCCACTTCACCTACCCCAGCTTCTGCTCAGGGCCTCCAATCTTGGGCTCTTGGGGTTGGGAGGCTGCATCCTCTGTGGTGGTGGGCCCAGGCTTGGGTCTCACAGGTGCTCCAGACCCATCCTCCTTCCCCCCAGAGCCAGGATGAGGATTTAAAAAGCCAGGAAAGCCAGGATAGCAGGAACAGGGAAGCCACTGGGAGGAGGAAGGACAGACAGAGGGGCGGAGACCAGCAGCTGCTTTTTGAATGAAGAGAAAGCATTTCAGGCAGCCAAACAGAATGTCAGCAAACCTCAGAAGCAATTCGCTCCCCCACGCCCAGCCTTATGGGGTTCCCACTGGTGCACCAGGCGCGGGCCAGGCCGACCCGGAACATTCAGTACAAATGCTGGGCTGCCAGCTTGTCCCTAAAATAAGACTCCAGCTGTTGGCCACAGAACTGCTTGGGAAGTAGAGCTCCCTGGGACAGGAAAGGAGCCCTGCAGGGCAGAGGAGGAAGCTGGGGGAAGCGAGGCCTGCTTCCATGTGGCCGAGGCTGGATGCGAGAGCTGTGTGACTGCTGCCAAGAGCTGCTGGGGTGGGGCCCCAGGGGAGCTGCCGACGCTGGAGCCATCCTGCCATTCTCACAACGGTTTCTTCTGAAATCGACATCCTTCTTTTTCTGCACTTTGACCCCCACCTGGTCTTGGCAAGGGTCCTTGGGCCACACAGGGCAGGCTAGCATAGGGGTCCTTTTCCCCATTCTTCAACATCCTGGCCCTTGAAGGAGTGAAGCTGGGGCCCCAGGAGCCACACTGCAGGGACCAGTCCCTAAGCAGGCAGGCAGGCTAATTCACGTGGGCTGCAGAGGAAGGCGAGGGAGGCAAGGAGCAGGCCCAGATTCCTCAGCAGGGCTGAAAATACCCATTAGTGACGATGCTGCTGCAGGGAGAACCAAGCTCACACTTCCGGGCGAGTATGAGTGCAGGGCTATTAAACGACACGAGACCCTTTGAAACGAAAAACCAGTAAACTTGAGACTTCCTCCTCTGTGTCGCCATCCATGTACAGAGGAAGTAAGACACTAGCAGGTCCTCCAAGAGGGTGTCCGCCTGTACATCATTCCTCCACCCCACACTATTGGGTGAATATGTAACAAGCGCACTTCTTGCTCTCATCAATGAAACAATGAATATTTGTGAGTCTTTCCTACAAGGCCAGCACTGTCCTAAGCACTTTCTCTGCATTTCCTTCTTTAAACCACATGGTAACCCTAAGAGGTAAGCACTGTTATTATCCTCGCTGTGCAGATGAAGAAACTGAGGCAGGGAGAAGTAACATAGCTTGTACCAGGCCAGGCAGCTGGTGATAGGCGCCTGGCTGGAGACTGTGTCCTCTGCCTTGCCCATGTTACCCCAGGTGGTGGCAGCTGCTCAGAGCCGTCCACACCGTGCACACTTGCCAGTTCATTCTATGGAGCCCACACTTCTCCACAAGGAATGAAGAGGGGTATTGCAAGGAGGAGCAGGGGGAGGTCATAACTGGGATGGTTGAGCCTTCAGAAAGTCCCTAGGCACATCCCAGGCTACCTGCTCCTCCTCTTCCAGAGCCACTGTGTGGTCTTGGACAGGCTGGCAAGAGCTCAGGGACTGGAGCTCCTCGCCTTTAAGATGGAGCAAGGTGAGCCCAGGCCAGGTGGCTGTGACTTGTGTTGGATTCACTCCTACAGTGCAAGAATGCCTCCAGAACAAAACAAGAGCCTGCCCCTGGAGTTTGCATTTTAGCAGAGCGGGGAGTGCTGGATTACGAGGACACCGTACAGAAGTGAGTCCTGCAGAGATGCAGTCTGGAACAAGGCTGTGAAGAGCCAGCAAGCCCAATGGTGTCCAGAGCAGATGGCAGGTCTCAGGGGGGGCCTGCCCAGAGGTCCTGGGGAGCTGAGCAGCCCAGAGGGAGGCGGGAAGCGGGGCAGAGGGGCAGGTCTTGATCACAGAGCTCCAGACCCTTGGAGAGGTTAGGTGAGTCACCCGAGGCTGGATTACCACACACAGAGTTCGGCCAGTGAGGTGCAGCCCACAGGAAGAGACACAAGGGGAAGCCCCACCTGGTGCACATGCCTGCATGGACAAGGCTGCTTGTCCCACATCCCAGAGCCCCCTGGTACCTGCCCATCCACGGGCCATGGTTCTGGACTGACTTGGATTCATGATGCCCACGTAGTTCAGATTTAGAGGATGGCAGGTCCTAACACCTTCACTGGCTGGGCCCAAAGCCAGGAACCCCATGTGGACAATAGGGAGGGGTGGGGTGCTCGGAAAACTGGAGGCTGTGGGCCCAGCAGACCACAGGTTTGAAACACAGGATTCTGTTGTTAAATTTGTCTGGGACCTGGCCGGGCGCGGTGGCTCAGGCCTGTAATCCCAGCACTTTGGGAGGTCGAGGCAGGCGGATCATGAGGTCAGGAGATGGAGACCATCATGGTTAAGACAGTGAAACCCCATCTCTACTAAAAAATACAAAAAATTAGCCAGGCGTGGTGGCGGGCGCCTGTAGTCCCAGCTACTAGGGAGGCTGAGGCA